TCGAAGCTAGTTGGACGATGTGAAACACTAGATTTGAAGAATAACCATCACTTGATTAGGGAATATCCTCATTACATAGTAATGTGTCTTATTAATGAATTTAGTTTATAAACTATATTAACATCGGTAGTGCATAATTGCGTTACACTATCATAGTCATTGATAGACACTAGGGAAATATTCTCAAGATATAGAAGTATATGCCTCTTTCCCTTGAATGTTGTTGCTTGCTCATTGATGAGTCTAGTTAGTTTATAAGCTAGACTAGCATCAGTCATGCATGATCGTTTTACCTACTCTATTATATTTGTTTTTCAATTTTTTGTTGAAGCCTAAGGTACTCTATCTATTATATTCTACCACATTTTCACCAGGCCGTTTACTATGATTTATTATAACTGTTGATATACATGTGATCTGATCAATATAATCTTATTCTTAACAGTTTATAGTTCATCCATGATCGACACTACATGTGACCTGATCAATATAATCTTATTCTTAACAGTTTATAGTTCATCATTGACCGACACTACATGTGACCTGGTCAATATAATCTTATTCTTAATAGTTTGTAGCTCATTCACAACCGACACTAGCAGTAATTTTTTATTATTTGAAACAAAGAAAGCACATTTACATTTCGTTTCCCATTCTGCCCTCCACATCAAACCTCCAAAATCAACCAAAATATTATAGACAACCACCAAACTTGCAAAAAAAAAAAAAAAAAAAAAAAAAGCTGAAAATCTGGATAAGATTTTATATATATTTATCCTATAAAACATGGCTTGGAGTGTTGGAATTTGGACTCGGAGAAGTCTCGCACCGTTACTTGTTCCCAATTCCCACCTTTCTATTCCCTCGCCGACCGCTTGCCGCTTCGCTGGCACTCCACTCGATCCTCATCCAAAATTTCCCTCCTTTTTGCCCCTTCGTTGCACTGAAGGGCCACTTTTCCACTTTGCCCAACTCTCCCTCCACGTCGTTAGTACACTTCACATTCCACGCTGCTGGATCTACCAAACACGAACTCTTGAGGGCAGTTTATTCCCATGGAGGATGCGAATCCTCTGTCCGGTCCTGCAGGTCAGCAACTTGTACGTGTCTTTCCCAGGCGCCACCTGGTTGTACGATGCCTGTTTTCCTCATCCAACGTGATTGTTTAATCTTGAACTAATCCTACTTAGGCTGGATAATATTTTTAATTTTTCAGTATTATCTTAATTTAAAAACGTAATTATTTTTTTATTCTAATCATCAAGTCATGTTACATGTATTTCCATGCAACAGCTACTGAAAACACTGAAATTATCAACATGTTGGCGCCATAATATAATGATAAATAGCAAACAATTACATTATTTTCCTTGTCATTTGATTGAATTAATATTCTATTTCAACTCTAATTAATCCACGATTTGCATGCTTATCAACTTGGGTTGTTAAAATAACCACCCTGAACTTGATCAACGTGCTACTAAACCAAAGACTTGTACTACACACGGTGTTTTTGTCTTTTACAGACAATAGTAGCCCAACCTCCATGTACTACACAAATATTTCATTTCACGGTTTAAATTTTATTCTACACGTCCGACGCACACATGTATTACACTGTCATAAAATATGTATGCAAAATTCATTACAAATGGTGGATCAAACATTATATATTAATATATAATGCAAGCTGTTGAGCACTATATAGTTATGTACATAATCGATGATAGGGAATTTACTCGCCGAAGATAAATGAGTAATGGTAAATAAATTACATTCTTTCTCTTCTCCAAACTTTCTTTCCTTACTACGTAAAAAATACAATCGGTGGTGGCATCATGTTGTATAGTCGATGGGGAAAAAAAAAAAAAAAAAAACCTTGGCTAGTAATCATGTACACGTCAACAAGATGAACTTTAGATTTTAATTCCGAACCTTGGGCTAGCCTACTTGTTGCAAAATTATCATGAAAACTCATTGTTGGCTGGTATGCATCGTCTAGCTTTGCAAATCACAATTTGTCACTCGATCAGTCGTGTGTCTAGACGTTTATACTAAGAAGGCGATAAATTATATATATCGAAGGGAACAGAAAGACGGACATGGTGTCAAATCGTTGATCAAGCGGCCCATCTTAAGCCCAGTGGCAAGGATCCCAAAAGCAAACCGTTGATCATGGTGACTTAGATTCTTGGTATAAAGTAAGAGATGGAGTCACCTCTGCGGCTATGCCCCTCACGTTCTTCTCATGAATTCTTTAAGTTTAAACCCAACTGCTTTCTAATTTTCAACGCGAAATTACACTTATAACCCTCAGTGCATGTCTTGTGGTCCACCCTTCCTCCAAACAATTTGGAGACAATACTTAGGCCGTCTCTCTTCTTGATGGGCCATGTTTATTGTACAGGAGGGACCAATATGAAAAACTAAAAAGTGAATGAGGGGTAGAATTGTCTTTGTGCCACAAGCTTATCAAAGTCAGTGGGCGCCTCCGAATATGCTACTTTGTGTCTTCCTTTTGGACCTTTGGTAATTGTGAGAAAATGTAAGTGGAGAGGGAGGGAATTCGGAGACGTCTCATTGGCTAGGAGAAGGTGGCTTTGGCGTCACAGATACATAGAATTAATTAGGGGGAGAAATGCTAAGCAACTCTCTCAAAATGGGGCTCTTCATCTACTATTTGTCAACTTATGTTTTTTACAATAACGTTGACACATAATTAACGTTAAACTGTGAGGTGACGGGTAATTCATGGAGACTCCCACTTTGAGAGAATCTCCTTAGCATTTTTCTATTATATATGGAGTTTGATGAACTTTGTTTGGTTTTAAATTCAAGTGTATTCAATATAGATCTTTAAGAAGTTAACAAAAGTCACCATGCATTGAATGAAGACTTTTAAGAAGTTAACAAAAGTCAATTATGACTTTTTGAGAGTCTACACAAGTCACATAATGCAATGACTATCATTAACACCACTTCCACCACCTTACCGTGACTTTCTTCATCCCTACCGACACCACCACAACCACCATTGTTGTCATGGATATTATCACCAACCCTACTCGATCTAACCACCACCACCACCAACACCACCATCACCATGACCGCCACCTTTATCACCATCATTACCACCCCATCCTTAGTTCTCCACCACCCGAACATCACCCCGCTATCACAATCACCACCCCTGCTATTATCACAACACTAGAAACACCAACTTTACTACCATTATCTCGACAATCACCACGTGAAACTTTCATCACTATTGTTGCCACAACCAACTTACTTTGTCATGGTTATGATTACCAGTTCAATAATGAAAAGTAAAAAAATAATAATGCTTATTAATAGATTGGTAATTAAAAATCCATGACAAATCCACATAATTATAAAATATTCCATCATTGAACTCTTAGAATTTTGCAAAAGTCATTTAACACCCTTCTTTTCCACAAAATTATACAATTAAAAGTCTACGGAATTTTATGAAAACTCATCCATAAAAATAGAAGTCTACTAAATCCATAAAAGTATCACTTTAAAAACTCAATAGGGTCCATGTACAAATCTTAAACATTGCAACCCATAAATTTAGACATGCCCCACAGTTAATCAACACCGGTAGTCAAGATAGAAATCATAGTAACAATTTCTTTCCATACCTGATATGTTATCAAATTGTGAATCACAATCGTTTATTCAAATATACTATTATACCATAAGGCTAGTGCCTTTACCGTAAAAAATTCAAATTTGGAGCGCATATAGCTTAAAAGAGAAGTGCCAATTTGCTACCCTAATGTATACGAAATTAGTTTTTTTGTGAGATTGGTACTTTTATTTTTGGAAAGCACAATATACAAAATTACATGTTCAAGCAATTACAATATGCAAAAACACAGAGTACTTCATTCCAATGGAAAGAAACGTTAAAATAAAATACAAATAAGACACGAGTATGTATGGGTAAAACCTTCACCAGTTACCAGTCTCATCGTCACTTTCGTATTGTAACGAATCCAAACCATAATCTAATCTAGTCCGTTATTAACTTATGCTAGTTGAAGGCACACTGCAATTGATGGAGTGACATCTCATGAAATCTTTTCTCATGTTAATTAATCAATGGAATTTTTTTTATGCCACAAGTACTTATTCACTTTTTACAATTTATCATATGAACTAAAATATTAAGCGTTTTGTCATAACAATTTTCTGAAATAATTAATTAATTTATCATGTTACTCTAGCTCCGTTATGTTTTCCATTCAAAATAAGTCATGACTTTGTTTAGGGTTGTTTTGGGCATTTCAACACCTCAATATCCGTTAATCTGTCATATCACCCTAACTCTGTTAAGTTTTCTTTGAAAACCGTAAAATTTGAAGGAAATCAATTGTAAATGTTGTGAACTGAAAGTAATATTTTCTCATTTCTTATATAGTGCTTTGAATTTGAACATGATGAGACAATGGACTAACATTTTTGATATGTAGCAATGAAATGAAAGGGATGGCCATGATTAATAACCACGTTTGGACATGATTGACCATGTTGATTTCTCAAAGCTTGCAACTACCAAACCATGTTTTTTAACTAACCAAAATTTAAAGATTTGTACAAAAGAGAAATGAAGAACTTGTGAAAAGGAGGTCAAAAGTCTGAAATAACCCAGAGCACAAGTCATGTGTGAGACACATGACTTATTTTGGATGAAAAGCTTAACGGTGTTAGTGTGAGATGGCGAATTAATAATTTTGAAAAGTTGATATGACAAAATCGCTTAAAATTTTCGATGATATGACAAATTGAAAAAAAAAAATGTGTGTAACTTCACATGACATTTCAAGATTAATTAAATTGTTAATTAATCAATTTCACACGCCAACGGTGCGCACTACGCCGTATAAAAATTTAATTTTAATTTCATTGTTGTTGTAATTTATTTATTTATATTATTATTTAAGTTTTCAGTTTGGACCCTCACTCTGAAATCCTCCGCATATAAACCCAGCTGTTCGTCGTTTCACGTAAAAAGAAAAAAACCAACCGACGATCCTCCCTCTCACTTTCTCTCTCCGCCATTTTTTTCTTCCTCCGTTTACTCAATTCCGTCGCGCTCGCCGCCAATGGTGATGGAGGACAACAGCGAGAGCTGCAGGAGTAGAGCGCTGAACAACTCGTCATCTTCTCCGGCTCAGTCTCGCCAGCAGAGGCAGAAGCTCGGGGTTTACAATGAGGTCCTCCGCCGCCTCAAGGACTCCAAAAACGACGAAGCTATTTGCCCTGGCTTCGACGACGAGCTTTGGGCTCACTTCAATCGCCTCCCCACTCGGTACCTTTTACTCCCAATATTTGTCTTGATTTGTTTCTTGAATTATTTATTTTTATATATTATATATGCATGTATATATATTACTCTTACTAGCATTAATTTCTTATCATTATTTTTATTAAGATTTTTTTTGCTGATTTCGAATCTGCTTTTTGAAAATTTGTTTCTGAATCTTGCATATGGAAATTTGTATCTGGAATTTTACTTTCATTTTCTGCTACGTTATTACGTATTTTTCTATTGATCCAAACAGTACAAAATAAAGCAGATTTAGCAATCCTCAAACACATTATTCTACTGGTAATCGCTTCACTACTCGCGGTTTACTATTTTGTAGAATCACAAACAGCTCTTTGATGAGTTGAGGCATTTGATTGTACTCGCGTATTTTATAGGTATGCGTTGGATGTGAATGTAGAGAGGGCAGAAGATGTGCTTATGCACAAAAGATTACTGCATTTGGCTCATGATCCTGCTCATAGACCAGCGATCGAAGTCCGCCTTGTACAGGTTAGATGATCTAGATGATCGACTACATATCTGACCTACTGCTGCGTCGATTGTAAAAGATTTTGTTGCCATTGATGCTTGAGTGCTAGCCTGTTTATCTTGTCATTTCTGTGGCTGGTGCATCGTTAATGTCACCGCAGATTTTGTGAGATCTTTTCTTGATTAAGCTTAGAAATCGGATTTGGACCAGGCCCCACTTGTGACTACACTACCTGACTCATGGAATGTTCATCATGTCACATTCGAAGTTGTTAGTGTTGTGCTAAGGAGTGCTCGTTTAACGACCTTAAAACCTTAAGAATGATTTCTCCTTGAAGGGTTCTATTTGGAATTGGTTTCTCCGTGCAGCTTAGTTTCTTAGTGGTTATCCTTGAGTAAATGATTAAATGAACAGTTGAAAAATCCAAATTCAAACAAAGTCTTAAGTTTCATCTCCTGATGGAACTTCCCTAATAATTTCTTCCTTTTTTCTTCTAGTTCTTTATATAAATTAGTTGTACAGACATTTATGCCCATTCATCATCTTCCTAAACTTTGCTCCATTACCTCATACATTCTGGGAATCACAATATCGTGTAGGTTCATTCTATCGCAGATATGAATACAGATCCGGGTAAAGATGCTGCCCAAAGTTCAAACATATCTAACAGACAAAGGTAATCTTATTTAGTTTCCTAAAAGTGTATCCAAATTTTTAATGTAGCTTCAAGATTTAACGCATATAGTCTGTGAATAAAAGGTGTTTACCTTCTTTTCTGTCATCCTACTGCACTGTCAAACATTACTGACAACTCCAGCTGGTTTTTCAAATATCAGTATACATCCCCCTCCAGCGTTTGGCTCATCTCCTAACCTCGAAGCCCTTGCACTTGAGGCAAATAAATCTGAAGATCATGATGCTGAACATGCTGTACATGCCAGAACTCAGTTTACTTGGTAAATAGCTATTTGTCTCGAGTAAATATGTTTTTACTGCATCTCTCTTTCTGAAAGACTTTAGTTTGGCTCATGAGTTTTGACTACAATATTTTCACTTTCCCATTTAAACTTGGTTTATGAAAGGGTCTGGGAAATATTTCCTTTAAATTGGTTGGCCAGTTTGATCTTAGCCATGGACTTAGTTGCTATTGGGTTCTGTTAATGGAGTTTTTTGCATGCTTGATGCGCTGCATGTTACCAGTGATCCATGCTAGCTATATTAACTGTACTTATCGATGCTTAAACTTTTATTTTCATTTTTCATAACTGAAACTTTAAGTGAACCTGACCATTGGTAAATCAACTATATTTTATGCTCATGCTTTCTAATTACACTAGTGAAGCAAAGTGACTGCACTTGCAGATGAATATTAATGTGTTTTATTCATGATGGACAATGATGTAGGCCCATAACGCATGAAATCACTTTCTCAACAGACGATAAGCCAAAACTACTCAGTCAGGTATTTGACAATTTCTTAGTTGACATTAAAACCAAGTCATCATCATAAGATTTTTTGAACCTCTACGTGTGTGTGTGGACTTATGTGAGCTAAGCTTATGGCGACAAGCACACTTTGAGCTTGGAAATGTCGCAAATTACTAATGTAAAAACCAATGTTTTAAAAGGCTAAGGCGTAGGCGAGGAGTTTCATGAATAGCTCCACCTAGGCGAAAGCCTTGAGGCTTGAGGCACAGCCTCACATGACCAAAGTTTTTAATATTATAAAAATATAATACTTTGATAAACAAATTAATCAACAATCAAACAAGCAATCAAAGACCAAATTGAGATTAGAATACCAAAAAACTCACTTGAATTTTGAACAAATTTTGGTGGTGTGGAGAATTTTGAAACAAATTGAATTATGAGATTGGGGTAAAATTGAAATATGGGATTGGGATTGATAATTTAGGGTTCGAGGAATTGGGGAATTGGTGAATTGGGGATTGGGGATTGGGTGAACTATGAATATGGTTATGGGAGAATCGGGCATTGGGATGGGGAAGAAGGGGGATATGTTGGGGGTTATAGACCTAGCCAAAATGGCGCCAAGTCATTAAAAAAACAAAAAACTCTTCTTCTTTGTGAAGACGCCGCCTCACCTCTTTTATAGAGGCAATGGGCAAAGCCCAATCTTCAACTTAGAGGGGTCCCCAGGAAATTTCAAGCAAGATTTTTAACTGTTGAAGGGTCCTGGGAACACCCAATCAAGCACCTCAGCCACCTAAGCTTGCCTCAAACACGTCTAGGTAAGTTTAAGCCTACTCCTGTTGGCAGAGGCGTTTTCATCCCCGCCTTGCCTCCAAAGCCACATAGGCACGCCTCAAGGCTCTTTTTTTTTTTTTTTTTTTTTTTTCAAACACTGGTAAAAACATAAATTCACATATTTTCAACTTGATTTAGCCTCTATATAAGGGTCACGCACATGAAATACATAGTTTTTCTCTGAATATTATATCTTCACACACCAGTACCTCTTATACTTCCTGGTCATCACTCTCATGATAAATTTGGCAGTTAACTTCCTTGCTTGCGGAGGTTGGGCTGAACATCCAAGAAGCACATGCTTTTTCCACATTAGATGGTTACTCCTTGGATGTCTTTGTTGTTGATGGATCGCGTTACGAGGTACGTACACATAATTTTAGACAATTCAATTCAATTGCTTGGTTTTTAATAAAGCATTTGTTTGCCTAAGAAGGTAAACATGATTTTGATTCAATAGTGTTTTACCGAAGAAGTATTACAACTTCAGGCTTTTCCAAACAGTCTGCAAGCAGCAGTTTTTTATTTTAGTTACAATAAGAAACTACGTTGGCCAACTTGTTCTTGAAACAGGAAACAGAGAAGCTTAAGATTGCAATACAAAAGGAAGTTTTAAAGATTGAGGTGATTCTATTCTACTAGTTAATTTCTTTTTCGATTGAGTAGGGAGGATTACAACGAGTGATGTCCCATCTGTATAATGTTTCTTTCATTTTATTTTAATTGAGGTGCATGCGTATCTTTTCCTTATACTGTAACCTTTACCTTCCCATGATCTACATGCAATTTCATGAGGAATGCATAATTCATTTGAACTTTGTATGTATGTGCAGAGGCTGTGGTCGCCAACTCATCGATCATCATCTTTTGGCAGCGAGCACAATCAAGTAGTGATCAAAACTGAACCTGATCATCTGGAAATACCTAATGATGGGACTGATGTATGGGAACTTGATCCTAGACAGTTGAAGTTTGGGAATAAAGTTGCATCTGGGTCCTGTGGAGATTTGTAAGTTTTGAATTATAAGATAATTGTACTGTTTGAATCGGTTTTTTCCTTTTTTTTTTGTTCCCTCCCAGCCAAGCATGCACTTTTGAGTGGCGGTTGACTTTGGATCTTTTATCAGATATAAAGGTACATATTGTACTCAAGAAGTTGCCATTAAAGTCCTCAAGCCCGAGTGTGTAAATCCAGATATGCTGAAAGATTTTGCCCAGGAAGTCTACATTATGAGGTATATCAATTTATATTAACCTACTTGTGCACCATTTACATTGAACTTGACTTTTCCCTGAATCAATAGCCATGCGAGCTATATACAGCACTTTGAATCCCGGAGAGATACTAGGCTGGTATGTTTTAGGGACATGAATAGGTGTGGTCTCTACAACTGTTGGGAATCATAAGAAATGCATGCTCACTTGATCTTCTAAATATTTTTAATTTGATTTGTATTCTTTTAAATGTTTGTGTTTGTCATGTAACATTCTTTTAAATGTTGGTTGTCCTCTTAACAGTTTTCTTTTCTTGTTTAAGGAAACGAGGAAGTGGTTTAAATCTACTATAATTTCTTTCCACAATATGTTTTTCTCTTCTAATTTGACAAAAGATTTCTGAAACTTGTAGGAAAGTTCGACACAAGAATGTTGTACAATTCATTGGTGCGTGTACCAAGCATCCAAGTTTGTGCATTGTAACAGGTAAGTTACAATGACTGTGTAACTTTGATGACTTGATATTTTCAAATAATGGTAGTTATTAGTTCCCTTTTTTAAGATTTATTCTCGTCGTATGGCAGAATATATGTCCGGTGGAAGTGTGTATGACTACTTGCATAAGCAAAAGGGAGTTTTTAAGCTTCCATCCTTGCTCAAGGTCGCAATTGATGTTTCCAAAGGAATGACCTACTTGCATCAAAATAACATAATCCACAGGGATTTAAAAGCCGCCAATCTCTTGATGGATGAAAATGAAGTAAGAGACCCTCATGATACTTTAATCAAAGTTAGAAAAGTAATTCTTTGTCTAGTTTAGCTGCTAATACTTTAATGATCATTAACCTACCATTTCTAAAGCTTTTTTGATATATGCATCACTTTACAGGTTGTTAAGGTTGCTGATTTCGGGGTTGCTAGAGTAAAATCTCAATCTGGAGTAATGACAGCAGAAACTGGGACTTATAGGTGGATGGCTCCAGAGGTCTGTACTTCCACTTGAAAGTTCTGGAATTGTTTTCGTTCATTTCATCATTTAAGTTTTATATCTGTGTGTGAATATATATACAGACTAGCACAAATGCACAAAGAGAAGGATGGTGTTAGGGTTTAGGGTATACATATATTATAGGGAGCTGTTATGTTGACCAATCAGAAATCAAGTTTAAATTTTTGGTCCTAATTGATAGTCTAACAATAGAGAGAGAGAGAGAGAGAGATTATTAGGCTACATAGTTTCAATTTTCCCTAATATTAAAAAGAAATAGAGTACTCCATCAGCATTTAGTGTATACATATACATATCTTATAGGCGCTGTTATGTTCGCCAATTAGAAATCAAGTTTGAATTTCTGGAATTGGTGCGCCATCGGCATCTGTGCGGGTAAACCTTAATGATGAGCAATTGGCAACCTTTGTCATCAATTAAGTAGTCAGCATGGAGTATTAGACTAATCTGAGTTGTACCCTAGGGTTTCTCATTCGCACAGCTCTCTTTCTAACTTCGGATGTCCTTCCTACGCATCACATTTTATTATATCATAACATAATTATTATTATCATTTTTTTAAGTTTCTATTGAAGAATGCGCTTGAAAATGAAAGCAACGTTTAAGAAAATGGTTATTCGCAAGTCGCTCAAATTTCCGCCATGAGTCTGTCTTTGTTTTCCTATTACATGAATTCTAGTTGGCATTTCCTTACAACAGTTGTTTTCCATTGAAGGTTATAGAACACAAGGCATATGATCACAAGGCGGATATTTTTAGCTTTGGAGTTGTGTTATGGGAGTTACTGACTGGAAAGGTATTGCTTGTCGATAGCATTTATTTTATCATTTCTTTTACTATTGCTCTTGTTTATGATTTCTTCTGTTTAAATCGGCAGCTTCCATATGAATACTTGACCCCGTTACAAGCAGCCGTTGGAGTTTCCCAAAAGGTACACTATCATTCTACAATTTTGTTTAGTTAGTGACCAGAGACATATTCTTCTACCCTTGTTGAGCTACGATTAGTTTTCTTGATCACTAATTAATCGTTGGGAGTTGAAACCACTTGTGTAACTGGCTTAGTGCCCGCCCAGGGAGAAAAATGATAAACCCTTTGAGTGGTACATCTTTTATTCAAACGATGGACTGTGTATAAGTTTCCCTACCGTCTTTCCAGGGCTTACGGCCGACCATCCCAAAGAATACTCCTCCCAAGCTTGCCGAGCTGCTCGAAAAATGCTGGCAGCAAGATCCAGCATCAAGACCTGATTTCTCAGAAATCATAGAGATTCTGCAGGCATTAGCCGAACAGGTATACATTCTGGTTGCAGTTACTTGGCAAAACATGTATTAAAATAATATGAGCATAGGTGACTACTAAACCAAGTTTATTGAACAGGTTGGTGATGGAGTGGAACGACACAAATTATCGGGAGGATTTCTGTCCGTCCTGAGACGGGGTCATCACTAACCAAGGCAAGCATATGTGTATTACTCTACTTATCAAAAGGAATTAGTGCAGTGCGGGGAATTCCCCAACCATTTCACATACCATGTACAGTGCCACGTCCAACCATTAACTTGTTAGAGCCATTCTGCCTTTTTATTTATTTATTTATTTTGCGTTTTCATATCGTAGCAGCAGTTCCGAATGTAATGGTAATGGGTTGGATGAACATGTTGTTGTGATGTTTAACGACAACAATGTTGTCGTGAGTTTCTTTCGATGCAAAAGTGGACAATAATGACAATATCTTATTATGTGACTTCATTACTTTAATACGATTTAGATTTTCACTTGTACTTAATACGATTTAGAATCTATTTGGGAATATTTAACTAAAAGCTCTTTTGGCAAAAACTGTTAACTTAAAGCTCTTTTGGCAGGAAAATTTAGTACTTTTTAGTTAGAAGTGCTTTTTAGAATATATTTATAATTGTATGTACAATGATTTAGATTTTCACTTGTATGTAATGTGATTTAGTATCTATTTGGGACTGCGTCTCAAACAATCAACAACTAAAAGCTTGTTGGAGTAGAAAAATTCAGATCCTCCAATTTTCCAACAAGTAAATCCTATAACCGTGATGAGAAGTCCATGACACTATCTTCGCTCGCCATCAATGAGAGAGGAGGGGACCTACAAAAAAACACTCCGACGCTCAAGTTAGTCTTTGTTCAAAATAATTGCAAGACATTGTAAAGCTATCTGATACTTCCTTTTTTAACTTCGTTGTTCTCATGGGATTCTAGTTGCTTTAAAGACATAAAATACTTGGGCTCCAAGTTCCACTTTCCCCTTATTTCTCCATGTTCCATATTCCATGGAAGTGTTTAATCATGCTCTTTTATTCTTGCTACACTCCCAAATTAATATAGTGGCTCATTGCTTAAGCCTTAATATTTGCACCCACAAATGCCCCTTTTTTTCTCTACAAACACATATCATCTGAATCTGTACAGGAAAAATATTTCTTTTGCAAAAATTCATGTGACATCATTGGTATGATACAACCAAACATGTAAGATTTTATGTGGATGATCTTCGAACATGAGTTTAGCCCTCGGCTACGATTGTAGTTTAGTCTTTGGCTACTATCACACACACTAGTACAAAAAACAGTTTGCACGACGTAGGTACCTTCATCGCGCAAAGTAAAAAAACATTGCATGAAAATTAGCCCAACGAAACTTTTGTCGTGCAAAGGCAATGAAAGCAGGGTTTACGCGATGAAGGGACAACCTGCGTCGCGCAAAAGATCTTTGCACGACGACAACACCTGCATGGTGCAAAATGTCTTTGCATGACCACCTCACATTCGCTCGACGATAAAACATGCGTCGCACAAAGAAACACTTGTAGTAAAAGTGCTTATTAGCAATCCAAACGGACCTTTTAAGGTTTAATACAGATTGTAAAATGGACCCGGGTGCCAAAGGCAACCCAATTTACAGCTCAATCTCCCCCTATGTAAGACTAAATTAGTTCGAAATGGGAGCATCACGGTTAGGGGCTAGAATTGGGTTAAGCCTCCAAAGTGTTAATTTTTTATACTAACGACATCCATTTTTCTTTTTCCCTTAACAAACAATATTATTTACATTAAGGGAGAAGGGAGCAGACTTAGTCTCATAATAGACTTCCAATAATGTGGTTCAAATTCGCCTTTGGAGAGAATCATACCTAAGACTTCTCACTTTGAAGTGAAGAGGAATACCACTAGACCGTGGTACTAAGTGGCGAACAAATGATATTATCTACACTAAGGGGTGTGAGAGTGAGATAAGCCTCGCAATGGGCTAACAATAATGTTGTTCAAATTCATCTTGGCGAGAACCGAACCTAAGGTCTCTCACTTACAAATGAAGAAAAATATCACTAAACTCTAGAATTAAGTGGCCAACAAAATTCTATTTTAAACTAATGTAAGTTATAAAATGAGTATCGAACTCTCGTGCATAAAGAGAGTACACCGGCATAGTAACACATAATTTAGGAAGTAAAAAAAGATGATGCTAGGCATAGTAACCTATAATTCTTTTCTGGCGTTCAACAGATTAATCAGCATGGGAAGTTGAAGCATCTCTCGTTGGTTAGGAGCCAGGAGCATGTCATTACCCATTTTAGAAGAGTAAATGATCCTGGCTCCTCTAATTGGCTGACAAGTGCAAAAACATGGAAATCATATTTCTAAGTCGCTTCTGTCGTGTTACAGACAGGTTTCAAAACGATCCTGCGTTCTTGCTCCAAGTTATATAAGCTTAGGGTGTCTCATGGGACTCAGTTAATCGATTTGGTTTTTCATGACATTTCTGCAACTTCCCTTTCTTTAACACATGTTAGCTTGAGACGGTGCACTCTTTTAACCAGCCATGCAGTGACTAGGTTGGTGTCTAACAAGGATCTGGAAGTTTTGGATTTGAGAGATTGCAGAAACCTCGGGGATGAATCCCTCCGAGCCACAAGCACTCTTCCAAAAGTAAAGACATTGTTGCTAGATTGCTCTGATATTAGTGATGTGGGATTATTGTATTTGAGACCAGTGGTTATAAGTTCACTAATTTCATTGTCTGTTAGAGGATGCAAGAAACTTACGGTTAAATGTATCACTGCTCTATTTGATGGCTCTTCCAAGTTGGAGTTGCAAAAATTAGACTTGTCCAATCTTCCTAATCTCTCCGATAATGCAGTTTTATTACTGGCAAAGAGTAGGATTCCGCTACTTGAACTGCGCATGCGGCAATGGCCACTCATAGGTGACACTGCAGTAATGGCATTAGCATCTATGCAAGTTGACGAGGAGAGGTGGCATGGTAACTGCTTAAGGTTGTTGGATCTGTTTAATTGTGGTGGGATTACCCCGCTTTCGTTTCGGTGGTTGAAGAAACCATATTTTCCAAGGCTGAGATGGTTGGGAGTTACGGGTAGTGTAAATAGAGATATGGTAGATGCTTTGGCTCCAAGTAGACCGTTCTTGCATGTATCGTGCCATGGTGAGGACCTGGGAGTTGAGCAAGGTGATACTCCCGATGATGTTTACATGCACGACTTTGATGAGATGGACGAGCTTGAACAGTGACTTGCAGAAGATGACTATGCTGATGAAGGTATGGTGAACGCAGAGGCAGTGGAGTGATCGGACACTTAGTTCCATCATGTTATTGTTTATAATGGTATTTCTGTTGAAACTATAGAATGTATCATGGTTTTTCATGGCGAACGATATTAGTACTCTAAACTCGATTAAGAGGAGTGGTGAGGATTTGAACCTGAAACGCAGTGGGATGAAGAGGAATTCATCGGGACAATACACCATTTCCAAAATGTATCATGGTTTATTGATTAGTGTTTTACTTGGTGTTGTACTAATCTACACCAAGGTTTAAACTTTAGAGCTTGTTTGATAATTATTTTTATTTTTGTTTTTACAATTGTGCTTTAGATGTGAAGAAAGCATATGAAGGAAATGAGGGATGAAGAAAGGTGGTTTGAGTGAGGGAGAGAAACAATAAAGAAGAATGAACGAAGACAAAATCTTGAAAGTGAAATAACATAAACTATTTGTAGTTATCATTATTTGTACTGATACATTTATTTTATACCTCTCCCACAATCCTTCTTGCACTCTTCTATATTCTTATTTTTTCCCAGGTGTAGTTTTGTCTCTTTAACACAAAAATTAAAACTATAAGTAAAAATAAAATAGATATCAAATGACCCGTTAATTTTTGTGGCATATAAAACCAAAAAAATTGAGTGGCATATAAAACCAAGAAACATGAGTGTAACATGTTCTTCTACTAGTAGTAAAGTAGCTTCTTTAATTTGCAAAAAAAGTGAGTGTAGATTTTGTGTGGGAAAATGTTGTGTAAAAGGTACATTGGACAAGAGTTGTGTAGATATTTCAAACTTTTCGGATCCCTTTTCTTCCCTTCTCGGTAACAAGTCTCACTACCTACAAATTCTTCTAACTGATTGTGTTTTGAGCTACATAAATGCATGGGACTAACACTTGTGAATCTTAGGGTTTTTCTTTGAGATACTTTGATCTTTTCCAGGGTTTTTTTTTTTTTTTTTTTTATTCCTACCATGAGCTTGTGCTAGTAGAGCCAAACTAGTTGCCACGCAGCTGGTAGATTTGAGAGCATGATAGGCCCAAGAATAAGCAAAAGAATGCATCCAAGTCTTGAAATCATCTACAATCAAACACAAAGATATGAGAATCTGAGATGGCACTTCAAAGCTGTAAGAATACCATTACTGATGAAAAATTCAAACATTTCTACACTAAGGGGCGTAGCACGCTGTGATTCAAAAAATGCCTTTTGCACCGTTTGTTTATTAAATATTATTTCTAAATTTTTAAACACTTAAGAGGTGCATAGTGCCAGTTATAAAAGTCTCTAGCATGCGCATAATAATGTGATTCAATTAGTTGTCAAATGATCATTTTTTTAACAAACGATGTTATCTACCCTAAGGGGACGAAGTGGGCTTAGCCTCACAATGGGCTAGCAATCAGTTGTTTATTAAATATTATTTTTTCTAATCTTAATGTAAATTCAATAAAATATAGATGAAAATTGAAAGATCGCTTTTATTAATATGGATTTAGCTGCTTTGATTAGTTAAAAGACCACTTTTATTAAATGTATTTATTATTTATTTCCATCTATATTAATAAATGCATTTAAAACATATAAATCGTGCGTAGTACGCCATGATTCAAAAAATGTTTTATGCACCCATGTGAGTGCGTGCATTGAGGGTAGCAAGGATAAATTGATCATCATTGATGGAAGCGTTTGCTACCAAGAGGAAATATGTCCTTATTCAATGAAAAAGTTGTACAGCACGTGTCACTATACAAATGATGGGATATGTGTGTTAAAATGTTAATAACTTAAAAAGTACAATTTTCCACCACTTGTATAAAAACACGCGGTATTCTATCTGTATTACAGTCACAAGTAAAAATCTCTCCAAAACCCATCGAACCGCACCGTAAAAAAAAATCGGTTTCATTCAAAATCGAACAAAACGAAATCGTGCCTATCCCTACCTGATAAACAATAGATTTGAATATACTATTTGAATTCTCCCGAATACCAATTTTAGCGTGCATACTAGAAAAGCCCTAGAAATGCACTCATACTTTGAATACGAGTCAAGATGTCTCAGTGAGGTACAATGGTTGTTTTGATCATATCTTTTAACTCGTTAGCTAGGTTAACGCTGGACAGCTCCTTCAGGGACATTTTTGGAACCACCAACCAACCCCTTTTTATTTTTTTGTTCCTG